ACCATTCCCATTTTATTACGGTGTATCCATATAAATGGCCCACCCTGTATATCAGCACCACTGACAGCAAAACAGCCACAGAGCATGATGCTACCACCACCATGCGTGACATTTGGTACCGTGTTCTTAGGTTTGAAATCCTCCAAACGTACCTTTTGTCATTGAGGCCAAATAGAAATGTTTCAGCCTCCATCTTATTTGATCATGTCCATAGCCTTGTGGTCAGGTGCAGATTTCAGTCAAGCTTCACTGTGGGCAGTGATGCTGGTGGACCAGCCGTTTCTAGTTCATGTCAAGCTTGGGCCCTGGTGGTTCCTGGGTTGTTTCTGAACATCCTGACCAATTTCCTCTTATCTGAGGGGGGACCGTTTTGGATCTTTTTGGATCAAAGTCGTGACACATGTGAATAAGTTATACTTACGTACAATTGTTTGAACGGATGATCTTGGGATTTGGAATTGTTTAGAAATGGCTACAAGGGATCTTCCCAACTTATGCAAGTCTGGGTTTCCCCATTCTTTTGAGCAGTGGTGTCAAACAATTCCTCTTTATGCTGGCAAAAAGAAACCAGATTGCAAAAAGAAACCAATTGCCCACAATCATGATCAGCAATGAGAGGTTTATAGGCCTTGGTCTTGTCGAGTTAAAAGACACTGTAGAAGCTTCAGCACCACTTGTTAAAAGATTTAAGTCAGCGTAAGTTTATATCCGAGCCCGTATTTATACTTTTGACCCTGCGAGAAATACAGAAACTCTAAAATAAATTCAAACTTGTGCATCCAGCAACTTATTAAAGACACATGCTGTACTTTGGTGCCACCCGGGGGGAAAAAAACAGTTCAAAGAAAAAGTTGAAAGCCCGAAATTACTGTGACCTTCATGATGAGTGTATGAAACTTTTGACCACAACTGTAACTTTTTAAGATTCCTCGTAAACAAAGAAATGGGTCTTACATTCCTCGGTATAGTCACTAATCGAATTATGTCTGTTTTCCTTTCATTTAAAAACAGTCAGAATGATTAATTCCCTCATAGTTTTTTCCCCACCTTTACCCAGTGAACAGTGTTTTTCAAAAGCATAACAAAACGATACTGCCAGAATGGAAATTAAAAGCACTGCCATCGCTCACCACCTCCAATTTATCAACTGAGATTGGAGCTTAAAAAAATTGAAGTTCAATCAAGAAAACAGACGTTCGCACAGATTCAGCGAAAATGTTTCCTTAAGGTTTCCCTGGATAACATGTATAAAAGCAGCCCAGGGGTCACTCAGCTTCTTTGAGTGGTTAATCAGCAAACTGCTTTCTTAGTTCACTGTAGTGACTCTGATGGATGTGTTTAGAATTAAAGCTGTCTTCCTGGCTCTATACGAGGTTATGTATGAGTAAGTATACTTTATAATTCCTATTTTCAACATAGATGTATGATGTGCGAGTGTTCAGTATTAAAATATGTGCCACTATGTCTCCTAGTGTGGACCACAATCGCTGATTTATCAGGCAGCAGCTGCAGATTTGGGTTCACTGCTGAGTTTCAGTGACTGGGGAGTGTCCTTCAGAAAAAGAAAAAACTCAAATAATAATCAGGACCAGGGGTGTCAAACATAAGGCCGGGGGGCCAGAATCGGCCCAGCCAAGACTTCAATCTGGCCCAATGGGATGGCTTTCGAATATTTAAAGGACGGCATAGATTTTAGACTTAACTGTATTTTTATGACTTTTACAGCTTTTCCTACACATTCATTCATTCTGGCAGATTGATGTGATTTCATTATCTTTCTCAACAGCATTTTGTTATCATGTTGAAAAACTGAGACATCATGTTGCACTTATTTTCCCCTTTTCCCTACACTGTAGATCCCTGATCTACACTCTTGGACTGACTACTGCTGCAGTTGCATAAATATTTGATTAAAAAATACAAATACAGAAATACAGTTGTTGTTGCTCTCATTCTAATTATGTTGTGTATATCACAATATGTATTTGAAGATCCAATATTCGAATCAGTCCAAACAACAGACCAGAAACAAATACATGAAGTTATGAGCCTGAGTGTGCCTACTTGAATGGGTCTTACCCACCTGTGCTTTCGGGAGCTTCGGGAATGGGAGGACTTGTATGAGTAGCCCGAGTACTGCGACTCGTTGTCCATGTCTCGGGTCGGCGGTGAGCGGGCTTTACGAGCCCCGCCTCCTCCCGCCGTGCCGCGCTGCTCGCCGACGCCTCCCAGTTGGTTTTTGCGCTCGGAGATGGACTTGGTGGAGAGAGCCAGGGGCAGTTTGAGTAGGTCAACCTTACTCCTGAGGGAATCTATCTTGGAGGCCGATGAGGGGGGAGCAAGAGAAGGGAGGATGGGAGGGCAGGGGAGGCTAAAACGAGGAGATGATGAGGAAGGAATAGGGGTGGGAGAGGATGATGGGCAGGAGAGTTGCAACAGGGGAGAGCTGAGGTTGCTGAGATCTGAAAGAGAAGGACAAAAAGAGAGCGCTGGTTAAAACTCAGCATCGCATGTAGCCATTTCTCTGCCTGAGCTACTATTTGTGCTCCTAAGTTGCACAGTTTAACTGAACTGACAACACGCTAAAAATACACCGCAGGCTTCATATTTATCTTTTCCTTTTTCCTGCCTGAGCTTCCTGCCTTGTGCTCCTAACAGCAATCACACCAGCATATCTAGATGGTACAAAACAAGGTCCCCGGCATCACTTCTAAACTTGGGCAAAAGCTCCTTTTCATAATATGCATCACGGCCTTGGAACAATTTACAAGATAAAGATCATTTTGGAAACACTGGCTTTATATCAGGCATTGAAAAGCATAGCACATTTCAAAATGCTGTCTGAGGAATGCGCCTGAAGCCTAACTTTAGAAAGAAGTAACAACGCAGACGTCTGCGAACACATGGAAGGTTAAAATCATAAGCCCCTTTCAGACGTCAACTCCTTTCCACTAGTCTGAGGGCGTCTGAGTGCTTCATTTGCATGTCTTAATGTGCACCCTGGTCATTTTCCATTAAAATCACTACGGCAGTCATACAAGGTCTGACCTATAAACCATCATTAACTGACAGGCACACACAGGAATATGGTCATCCTTCTTTGTGGGCTGCACAGGTAACTAAACGGCACAAAACAGAAAAAACATAAGTTTTTGTTTTGTTTGTTTTTTTTTTTTTTAAAGGGAGGTCACCAACTTTCTTAATCTCACACTTAAGAGAAAACCTCAAAACTCCTCCCTTTTTAAAGTAAAGTAAAATGACCCTTTAAGAGTCCAGTTATGTGGTTTATACCCACATCCACTATAAAACACATTAACCTTCTAAACTGAGGCTTCGGTTTCACTTCAAGCGCTTTCATAGCTTCCAGGTCTCAGCTGAGGTTAATCATCACACGACTATATCTCCTCTCTCCAAGCAGCGAGCATTAGCCACAGTTAGCTGTGTCACAATGGCAGCCATATTGGATTACTGTGTTTTCACTAAACTTGTTTGCCCTCTCACTCCCTCTCTCGCCATCTCACATTCCGTCCCTCACGCCCTTCGTCCCCTGGGAAACGGGGCCTCATCGCTGCCATGGTAATGAATGAGGGTGTTCAGCTGTAGGGGGATTGGAGGCTGACAGTTACTGTGGAAACCTGACCTCACACCGCCCTCTGACACACTGTCTGTCCACGCGGGAGGAAAAAAATCACCAAAATAAAAGTATCGGCGTGATGGATGTTTGGCTGTCACATGGTAGTTAATTGATAAAGGGAGGGCGTGGCTCACTGGCTTTGATTGGCCCTCTTTGGGAAATGGAGAGGGAGGCTAGCTGCTATCAATGCCGGACAGATTCCACTTAAAGGTGCTTTTATGCCCCATCAAGACCATTGAGTTTAAAATCCACTTCCCTTCATCCAAGTCCTGCATGAAATCCAATCTCTCTGTCAAAGTTTATCCACATTTTCACCATCTCTTTTTGCATTAGTAGTAGTAGTAGTAGCATCATCATCATCATTATTAATGGTCCAGTATTTGCGTATAAGCAAATACTGGACTATGGTAAAGTGTCAGTTCATCCACTGTCTGCAACAAGCGCCCCAACTTAAGTCATCTTTCTTCTCATTGGTTGTTCCTCACAAACAAAGGGTTTGAATAATAGGTCGGGTGGGGCATCAATGTTCCACACTCTCTGACATCATAAAGACTGAAAGAGAGTCTTTTAGAGCCTTTGGAGCACCCAAGCCTTTATTCCAAGTGAAACTGCATGCGTGTCTTTTGGCGTAGGCATTTGGTTATAGAAAGCAAAAGACTAATGGTATGTGACAAATGCACGAGTGTCAGAGCGTGATATTAATGATAAAGAGATGTCATACGTTTACTTTCATAGTGCGCATGAGACAAGCCCAGACATGTGTTACAGCAAGAGGCAGCCTCCAATAATAATTTAGTCAACAGGGAGTCCCTTCAACAAATTCAAACAGAAATTACAGCCTTTTGCAAAATATGCGACAAAGCTGTTCCCACTAAAGGTGGAAACACTACACTTGTTTCAACACTTGTGGTAAAAAGACACCACCAAGCTATGACGCCATGCGAGGAGGAGATACTAGGAGCTGATGATGTGCTTGGAAAAAGTAAACAACGGAGACTCCACCGGGGCACTGCTAGTTGTCTGTATGACAGGGAGAGCAAAACGGTGGATGGAAATTATGGGTGCAGTTACACGATGGAAATGCAGGGCTTCGAGCAACTCCCGATAAAGCGATACCCAAGATCCCAGGTAGAAAATATTTTTCAGTGTTATGTGAAAATATTGTGAGTCTAAGTTAAGGTTAAGCTACTTTAATTATTAGTAGTAGTATTATTAAAATGTTAAGCATTTGTTTTATACTTTTACTTAAAACTTCCATGGAAAACGCTACTTAGGTTACTTTTAATGCTTAGATTTAACTGTGCCACTATCAGTGCATATATAGCGCAGTGGTGTGCTATAATGCTGCTGCTAGCATCTTGTTTCTGTAGAGTCACACTTCAAATTCGATAGTGTGTCATCAGGAGTTACTGACAGTTTCTTTGTGTTG